CCACCAGTATGAATCGCAGGGATTAGCGCCTCGCTGCCCCGGCTCACAATGTTTTCCTCTTTCTCTGAACTGTTCTCCCCTGCTGTCTTCTCCTTTGTCTGTGAAACACATTTTCCCTTATTACCACCTTGTTTCCTGCCTGCTTTGGATGGCTTCAGCTTGGCTCTTAACAAAATCAAGATGTTGCTATTAAAGGTCTTCTTTTTCTTAACAGCTCAGAGTCACTTCCTTTTATTTAGTCCTTGTTCCCTTCCCTCCCAAACCACATAATAATCTCTGTTTCAACTAAAAGTTTTATAGCCATTTCATAACCACTGCTTTAGAGTTGCTATCAAAAAGGCACAAGAGGAGGAGATAAAAGTAAGGGGAGAAAAAGCAGAAGGTGAAGGGGTGAGGGACACTGCAATAACTGAGAAACAGACAAGCCTCCTCGGGACATGTCAGTGAAGAAATGAGGTAAGCTTCTCCCTCGAGTCTGAACACTGCAAGCTTGGTGGTCTGGTGAGTTTTTCTTTAATTTTTATGGATGCATGGAAAGGTAGTTTCCCCTCTGAGGCTCTGTCCTCCTTCCAAACACTTACCATATTGTCTTAGAACTCTCCCAGCATCGGTTGCTCATAAACCCTTTTATAGAATCCAATTACATGATAGATACAACTTCTTCAAATCACATCCCCCCAAAGCTAAAATATTTATCCACATTTTCTAGCATTTTCCATTCCCACTCATTTATTTTTATTTCAGTTTAACAAACTTAAATAACATTTCCATCACAGTTCCATTTAATGTTCTCCATGATGCCAGCTGAAAAACATACAAACAATGCAAATGTACTCAGTTCCCACAGAGTAATCACACATCAAAAGAGAAGAGAGTGACAGAGCAGGTCTGGTTGCTTCCTTCATGTCCTTTATCTGATTTGGGTTAGACTCCTCCGTTTCATGTTGTGTTATAGAAAGTCCCTTGCAATCATGTAGGGAGAAACAGCTCTACTTTACTTTTCCATTCGAATATTTAGTTACCACAAATCTACGTTAAAAACCAAATTTACTTTCTATGCTTTAATTAAACTAGTTCTCCCCTTCAACTTTCTGGTCTGATTCAACGGCACCTGTCTTCTCGTCAAAGCGAGCAGGAAGAGTTATTCCTTGGATGAATAATGCAATACAGAGAAGGGACAGGTACCATATATTGCAAGGAGACATCAACAAGACTTGATGGTTTGCTCACAGGATGCAGGTACGGCATGGTTCAAGGAAGATCACCACCCATCCTGCGTCATCCCTTTCCTGTCATCTCCAACTTAACCTTCCTCCTCCTGTGGCTTCACCATTCATTGCTACTAACCTATGCACTCACAAATACCTTCACTGAGATTCTCCATTCCTAATGGCCTTTGGTGGCTTCCCAGTGCCACCAAGGAGAAGCTGGCAGCCTGAATTTCTAGACCTGCCATAATTTGGTCTCTTCTAGTTACTTTGGGCTTTTCCTCTTTTCTTAGGAATTGTATCCAAATCTTATTTGTTTTTCAGTCCGGCCCCAAAACCAAATCTCTCCTACAAATCTTTCTTTTCTAGAACACTAGACTCGGGGAGGGGAGCTTCTAATTTGGTTTTTCTTGTTTTTAAAGGCATCAACAACTAGTGCTCTGGGCATTTGGTTTGCTTGGGACTTCAATTCTGTGTGTCTCAACTTCCCAGCTGTCTGTCAGCTCTATGAAGGAAAGAAAATTCCTCATACTTTTCCTGTTTTTTTTGCCAGCGTCTCCAAAATTCCCACCTCCAATATGTTCCCAACATGTAACATATTCCTTCATTGAAATAACTATTGGGGGGATGTGTGGTTTTCTTCTCTCTGCATGTTTGTAGTATGTCAATTCTCCCCCATCTTTAACACATTGCTTGTACCATTTCTCTTTTCATTATATTTCTTCAGCGCCTCTTGTGACTCAGCACTCTACCTATTTTGTTACTCATGGCAACCCTCTGAGCTTAGTATCATCCTTTTCAGTTTACAGAGGAGAAATTGAGGCTCAGAGAAGTGACTTCTGTAAGGACATACAATGCAGGGAGAGGATACAGAATTTGGACTCAGTATTGTGACTCAGAAGCCCAGACTCTTCCATTTCATGCCCTGATCTCCCTAGATTATATTTCTCTTGCACAGAGCATCTGTTCTTCTTCAATAACAATGACTAGGGGTAGGTGGAAGGCGGTGTCAAGCCATACTTCCTTGTGTGATCACCTCTCCCTGTATATAAGCTTGCTCTCTGGGCTACCCCCGTAAGTGCCCTCTGGTACTACAGTACTGGTAGGTCAAGATGACTTAGTAGCTTTTCCCTTTTTCTTTTTCAGCCCCAGAAATCTGCACTGCATTGTAATGACAGAGCTTTGGAAAGACCCAGAGATGGTAATTTGGTTTTGGTGAGAGCTCATGCATTTACATATAAATGAAAAGCAAAAGGACATTTACATTGTAGAAAGGGGAAAAATAGTCTTTCTCCTTGTCAGAAAGAGGCTTCTTTGATGACACATAGAATATGATTTTTAAAACAGAAGGAATGTTATGGAGTATCTACGCAGTACTGCCTCAGTAAAATGAGGCAGTGAAACTAACCCAAGTTCTGACGGGAAAGGGAAGACAAACCAGAAGGAGGATCTTGGTTTCCTTTGTCAGCCTCTGCCCTTCTCCATGTTCTCAGATTCTGTTTCTGTGTAGACCAGGTACTTTAAAGCAGCTCCTATGTCACACACAAGATGCTTTACAAGCATTATTTTTGCCAGTTTGGCAGTCACTTAGGTTTATAGACTCCTGGGGTAACAATGATTCTTGAACACAAGGACCATTCTCTTTGCAGGTACATTTTAGGAAGCTTCATTGGCCTCATTATGTCTGTGGGCCTCATGAGATTTGGCAAAAATGTCTCAAGCCCAGCTCAGAAAGATCATAAAGACTTAGCCATTTGCAACTGGGTATGCCATTTATAAATTCCTTCCTGGACTATGCCTCTCCCATAGTTATACCTTTATAATTTTTATGAGTTGCCAGTTTTTATCAGGAGAAGGGAGGGAGTGAGCATTGGTATTTATCTTTCGTAGTCCCATCAGGTGACCCTACTTTTTCCTCCTGGATTTTTTATGGTCTTTTAAATTTATTCCATGGAATAGTATGTACAAACCAACACCTTGATCAGGGGCTTCCCAATATCCTGGCACTGGAGTATTGAGAAGTCATATACATCTTCTCTATCCTACTGCTGTCTGATATCTAACATTCATTCACTCATCTTGCCAAGAAAATTTATCCACTTCTAAGTGGAATAGCATTGACTAACTAATGTTCCATAAGGATCATCTACCATATTAGAATTTGTAGACCAAGAGAAACTCTAAAATTATATATACTCTATATATAGTTAGAAAGCTTCACTTTGCCCTCTACTCTATCAAATCATATTCCAACCAGAAAAGAGCTCTCCTAAGCAATGAGAGAAAGTGGAAAATTGTCAGATGTGAATTTAACGGTAGAAAGGAAGAAAAGTTCTTTACTGATCATTATTGATCTGTTCATCATCAAGGAATAGAATCACAGCCAGATTAATGTGTTGCATCTGCTTCTTAGCTGGATCAGTTCTCACTAATGCTGCTTGAGTGTTCTACATTTTAAGGTTTGTGACAGTTTTATATTTGAGAAAACAGGGTTAGAATTGTTTAAAATTATCTTATTTCAGGAGTATCTGATTCCAAATCCTCTACTATTGTTACTATCCTCAACTCCCTCTTATTTTCTAATACTTGAGACCCAGGATACTGCACTGTGATGATATGAAAACAATACGAGATATGATCAAACTACATGGTAAATATTTAAATTAAAATATTTATTAAAATAAAAGACAAATTGCTATTATTTCCCTCAAAATAGTCCCCTTCCCTTTAAACAGACTTATCCCATCATTCTTGTCACTTCCTGCAGCAGTTCTGGAAGTCCTCTTTCATGAATATCCTTATGAAGTATGATTTAAAAAATACAACGAATGCTGCTTCTGAGTAATATCTAACAGAAAAGCAAGCCTGTAGAAACATTATACCTCATCCACTTTATTCACTGGGTCTGGCATCATGTGACTTCTGGCTCTTCTACAAAGTCAAACTGATCATGAAAGGTAAATGTGTTGAATCAGTTCAGGACATTGGTGCAGTCATAACAATACAACTAAAGATATTAATGAAAGAGGACTTCTAGGGCTGCTTCAGAAAGAGGCATGAGTGGCGCTGGAGATTTAGCTCAGTGGCACAGCGCCTGCCTGGCAAGCGCAAGGTTGTGAGTTCGATTCCTGGTACTGGAAAAAAAACAAAAACAAAACAAAACAAAAAAAAGTGGCATGAGTGATGAAATAAATGTGTTTGGAGTGTGTGTATGGGATTAATGTCAATGTATCTATTACTGTAATAATTTTTAAAATTTAAACATTAATGGTAGTTTTCAATCATACCTCATATAATCTGTCTATTCTTATATATTTTTAGAGTCATGTCACTGAATTTTTTGTGAACAGAATTTTGAAAAAGGTGGTTTAATCTTGATGTCTAAGAAGATAATCACTGGGATATAGACTTGTCCTGATGATATCACATTTACTGAAAACCTTTTTGGAGCAACATTTAGAAATAAAGTTCAGGAAAGGAGTCAGACTGGGCAGCACACTTGAATATTTATAATGATAGCACTGTATGTGTGCCTAAAATTTTAGAAAATAACCAAAAAAGCATTTATGTCATTATCTCTAACTCAGGCTGTAGCTTAGTGGTAAAGCACAGATTTTACAAGCTTGAGGCCCTGGGTTTGATCCCAGCATCAAAACCAAAACAAAACAAGGCAAAATAAAAATAAATCTGTGTCTCATTAGGAAGTCAGGGCTGGGGATATAGCTCAGTGGAACAAGCGCCTTCCTGGCAAGTGTAAGGTCCTGAATTTGATTCCTGGTACCAAAAAAAAAAAAAAAGTAAATAATCACTAGGAAGTCAAACTAATTCTGGTTATGAACGTTTGATGGGTTAGAGTGGCTATGAAATAACTACTTTTGGGGAGTGTGATTTTGATGTCAATGACAAAACTAAGAAATCACATTAGGAGTATGTAATTGTGAATTGTGATATGTCAACTTGACTTGAGCGAGAACTGCCTAGCAGATCAATGAAGTTTAGGGATGTCTGTAGATGACTGACAGGTAGGCTGCAACCTAAAGAGGGAAAACCCACCCTGGCTGTGGGTTGCACCAACTAATAGGCTGGTAACCTAGATTGAATAAAAGGGAAACAAGGAGTCTTCCTCTTCTTCTTTGGAGGAGCTCTGGTCTTTCCCATTGCCTTTGGACGTCCACCACCAGCCTTGTAGCATAGACTCTTCAGCCTTCCAGTTCAGACCTTCTGGCTTTCTGATGTAGACTCACAGTGGACTTTGTAGTGAGCTCCTGGCCTTTTTCTTTACTTTATATTCAGTATCACTCACAGCACTGAAGTTGGACAGACCTTGAAAAATCACAGGTAGGAGTAAAAAGAGGTGGTTCTCAGGAGACAGTATAACTATTTCCAGAGGGACATTGACTGTTTTGTATTTTTTGTGTATCAACTCATATAATTTTCCCAACACTCTTGTATGGATCAAATAGGAGCAGACCACAAAATACTAGTGAGGGAAGTAAAAGAAAAACATAACACATAGGCAAAGGTGGTGTTGCAAATTAGTTGAGGTTTCTTTGGTTTTGGATGGAAGTCATGAATTGGCAAAGTGCAACTCTACTAGCAGTCCAGATGCCAGCGTATGATGCTGGATGCCATAGTCAACACAACTATCTGCTGGTTACTGCCGCTGCTGTCTGCCAACACCTGATGATGGCTTGGGTTGGATGCCCTAGGTCGACACTGCTGGGTTCTAGACTCTGCTGCTGATTTTTGTTGACTGCTGGTCTCTGGAGCTCTTTAGGATTAACAGCCCCCAGTGTTTATCTACTCTGTTCACACCATTCAGGAATCCTGAATAGATTCATGGGAACTTTGGAGCTAATACTACCTGAGAAATAAGTCTCAAGCAGGCTTAGAGGACCACCAAAGCAATTCTTTATTTTAACAGAAAGTGTGCTGTCAAAAAGGGTTTCAGTACACTGAAGGGTGCCTGCCTAGACTAACCTAAGAAGTGTGTAGGGAGTGCTGCTTATATAGCAGCTTCAGGCCCATAAATGGTCCAAATACAAGCCCGCAGTTGTCTAAATTTAGTCCTGATGACTAGTCCAAGCCAGGCCTGTGATTGGTGCAAGTAAGTGCAGGGCTCCAGAACGGCCACCGCTGTCCTGGCCGGATTCAGTGAGGGGGTGGGGTGGCATGAACTGTACGATTGACAGCGGTTGCATCTCTGGAAAATGGATGGGGCTGAAACCAGGAAATCTTTGAGAAAGCTAGCGGTGTTTATCAGAGCTAATTGGGGTTTAGGTTGGTTGGGGATGTAATGGGCCCAGATTCCTCCCTCCCTGATTTTAGCCATATTAAGAACCCCTCTCCCCTTAAAAGAGACAGCAATAGCATCTGAAGTGATGGGAGCAGGAAGGGGCTCTGAGCTGAGCTGCAACTCATGTTAGAATGACCTAGGGGAGAGTGGCTGCTAAATACTGGGGAGGACACCAAGGCAGCTACTTCTGGTCCTGTGGTTGTGGGTGAGGAGGAGCAAAGGAAAACAAAGAGGAGGAGCACGACAGCCATTCCTTTTTGATTCTTTTTGACTTTTAAGTCCTTTGACACAATCCCAATTTTTTTCCCCCCTCAGAACAAAAATGCTCCAGGATCATATTTTATATTTTCTGCTTTCAGTGTGGAATCATCCATTTTCCTAAGACATTTTGAATCCTTTTTATTGGGAAGGGGTTTTTAGAGGCCCATGATCTGGGTTGCTACACTTGTGATCATCGCTTCCAGGTTTTTCAATGGAAAGAGCAAAGAAATGCATATTTTAAAAAATATGCTGTGAATTCAAAATCAAATGAATTTGATTGGGTTAACTTTACATAGCATTTTGGATTTTATATTTGTATCACTTTTTAAACTAAACAGTTTTTTATGACATCAGCATAATTACTTATTTTACTTCATCCATATATATATATAAATATATAATTGCATCTAAATAACAAGGAACAACACAATGTCTCACAATGTTACAAGACTTAGAGCAGAGGCCTCCAGCTCTGGGGGTCTCGAGAGACTAAGTTCAGACACCCATCCCTGAGATACAATGAGGCAATGATGGTAGAGATAGGATAGGAACTTTGTCCTAATAAGGCCACACTAGGAAGGAAGGAGGACTAGTGACCAAAGATCTTTCTTCAAAAGTATTGATAGCAACCTCACAGTTATATAGGTAAAAGGAACAAAGGCAAGGGTTGAGGTTTTCCATGACTGGCAGTCCAGGTTGTCTTGGTCTGTCTGTGTCCTGACTGATCATTACCTCAGGCCATTACTCAAGACTGGCCAAGGGGGGATTTGCTGGCACCAAGCAGATTGCTTTGCTTAGGGGGTAATTTGGTCTTTGGTCATAAGATGTTCATCAGTAAGTCCTGTTGTTCCTGGAATCCTAGGTAAATGTAAGGAGAATGACTCAGAATTTAGTAGAAAAAAAATCAAAAGGCAAAGTGGAGTTAAGAGAAACAGAATGGAGGTCAGTGACTAGGTCCTTCTTCAATAAGGGTTTAGAGGTTCTTTATACTCCTTCATGTTCTTGGAGATGTGTATGTTAGCAGTATATAGTCAGATTACTGTTTTAAAAAATCACCTGAAAAGTTTTCTCTCTGTCATTAAGCCATCCACTGTGCCCACAGATTCACTTATTTCATCTTGATTTTGATTGGGAGGGGTTCGGATTGCCATGAATATTTCATTAAGATAAAGATGAGAGGTTTTTTTCTTCCCACTAATATTTCACTTTACTCTCTTCCTTTTTAAATTGAATAGTACATGTTTATATTTACATGCCTTGTGTACTGTCTTCTCATTTGCTGAGAAAGTTTCTGAAAAGAAGTTTATTTTCATATCCTTTTCCCTAAAGGTGTACTAGAGTTCTCCAGAGGAATGGAACCAATAGGATATATGTATATTATATATAGTAGAATATATATTATATAATGGAATGTATATATATATATATATGGTAGGAATTTATTAGATAGGCTTACAGAATCAGAGGCATGGGAGTCACCATGGTTGTCTGTAGGATCAGGGGTTGGAGAACCCACAATGACCATCTATGTACTGGAGAGCCATAGGACCCTGTAGCTGTTAAGCTGAGAAAATGGAAGCTTCAGAACAAGAGGGGACAAAGATTCAGCACCCGTCTAAGGTCAGAGGCCTGGAAACTCAGCGGAGGGTTGCTGATACATGTCTGTGTGAGAAGGCTGGAAAAACTAGAGACTTGGAGACTGGTGTCTGAAGGTGACAACAGCAAAGGGTGGATCACTCTGGAAGATGAGCTCTTCAAAATGGGCTTCCTTCTCCTTTCCTTTTTTATTCCATGCAGGCTACAAGCCTATTGGTTGATGCCATCCACAACTGCAGTGGGTCTCCCCTACCTCCGTTTTCTGGCTACATATCAATTATCCATAGACACACCCAGCACTGTGCTTTTCTCCTCTCTTAGGTGTTTATTAATCCATTCAAACTGACCTATTAATGGTCACAATCCACCCCTTGGCAATTTGACAGCCAGGCTGAAACCATGCTTAATTGCAGGCTGATTGTCATGTCAGAGTTTCAGTGTTGGTCTCTGATGGTGGCCCCTTGGGCATATAGCTGAGTTATAGCCAGGTCAACCTTGGTGAGTGGAAGTCCATGTTAACGAATCCATAGATAACCTACCCCCTCTACCACCATGGCCACCTTATGAGCCCGCTGGGCAATGGCAGGGGTGTCTGAGGAGGGAGGTTGCCTGCTATCTACAGAAAAGGTAATCCTATCTACTTGATTATTAAAGTCCTCTTCTGCTAAGGTTACCTTTTGGTGAGCATTTACCTGGAATATACATATCTTCACATTTTTTATCCATATGGAGAGATCCAACCACATATCTTTTCCCCACATATCTTTGTCACCAATTTTCCAGCCATATTCTTTCTAAGTTCCTGACTAAAGCCTGGATCTGATCAGTATATAATAGCACATCTGGCCATTTTTTCTTCCAAGCAAAATCTATGACCACATGTATGGCCTAAAGCTTTGTCCATTGTAAAGATTCCCCTTTACCACTGTCCTTCAGGGATATCCTGAAAGGGGGCTGTCATGCTTATGTGGACACTTCTGAGTGACGCCTGTATAACGTGCACAATCATCTGCAAACCAGGCCCTAGTCTTCTCTTTGTCAATGGATCATAGGCTACATCAGATAAGGCCATGGGTACATGTCAGAGGATAGAGGCAGTGTAGTAGGAGTAGGAACCATGAGCATTTGGGCCACTTTTTCATCTAACTTACTTGCACCTTAAGAATCTGCTCAGGTCTATTCACATACTGTACATACCACTTCCATTTGATGTTGAAGTCCATGGCTAGATGGATCAGATAACACCCAGTTCCTGAAGGGCAGCTCAGATTGCATGGTAACCTGGTATTCTATGGTCAAGTTTCAGTTCCCACTAAGTCTTAGTAGTAGGCCAGAAGCTATTTATCAAAGGAAGAATAGTTTTCTGCAGATGATGGAAGAGGCTTACTCCAAAATGCTTAGCTGTGATTCACTTATGAGGGCCTACCAGAGGCTCCAAACAGCATCTCTACCTGTTGCTGACACCTCAAGTACCATTGGATTGCATGCCCATATGGCCCAAGTAGCAGCAGCCTGGATCTGTTGCAGAGCCTTCACTTATTCTGGGTCCCATTCAAATCTAGCAACTTGCTGAATCACTTAGTGGATAGGCTGGAGTAACACACCCAGGTGAGGGTGCACTGCCTCCAGAATCCAAACAGGTTCACTAGGCATTGTGCTTTTTTCTTGGGTGTAGAGGGACCAGATCAACAATTTATCCTTCACTTGAGAAAGGACCTATATTTTTGCATGCCCCATAGCACTGGACTCCTAGGAATTTCACTGAGGTGAAGGGTTCTTTTTTTCTTGGTATTGGGAATAGAGCTCAGGACCTTGCGCTTGCCAGGCAGACGCTCTGCCACTGGGCTATATCCTCAGCCAAAGTGAAGGGTTCTTGAACTTAGCTGGATTTATTTTCCAGCTTCTGAAACAAATTTTTTTAGACAAGAAGTCCTGAATGATTGCTATCTACTGCTCCCTTGTACCAACCAGCAGAACATGTAATGGACTAGTGTGATAACTTGCAGAAGAGAAAGATGATCAAGATCCCTGCAAACTAAGTTGTGACACAAGGTGGGAGAGTTGATATAGCCCTGAGGTAGAGGAGTAAAAGCAATTTGACAGTAAATTGCTTCTGGTGGGCCCTACAGATAGGTATGGAGAAAGCGGTGTTTCCCAAATCAATAGCTAT